CTTCTTATCATGTTAAGCACCCTAGTCTCACCCCAAAAGTACGGGTTATAACATTTTCAACTTGCCGACTTTCGACGAAACTTATTTTCTTTGATTTGTTTAGCTTCTAAACCTTCCAAACCTCTTGGTACTTGACATTCATGATTTTAAATATTTATAACCTCCAAGGTAACATGACTAGCTTACTTTATGTATTTTCAAATATGATCTCATTTTCGAGCTTACATCAATTGACTACGACATACTTTTAGGTATGAAAACATGGGGTATAACAAAGCAACAGCTAATTTCGGACTCTATTTGCAAGCCTCGCAAGTAATAAGAAACTTCTCTAAGGATATTTAGTTTTGAAACGAATTTCAGGAAAAACATAGAATTTCTTTTTTATACTTCTAAAATAAACACCATCTAAGAAGTTGATCATAGGAGCCAATTAATTAATTTAGTTGATCAATTGAATATACACTCTCTGTATTACTGTGTATTCTACAAGTGTTATAAGAAATGTTTAAGAATACATTCTAAGGAACACAATTGAAGTTCAAGTTTACAAGTTTTGATATAATGCAGTCTTTTTGAAACATGAAAGAATTAAAAGTGGGCTTTATGAAGGATAGCTTATATGTAGACCTTACTCATAAAAGTAGAGATACCATTTTCGATAGTCTTGGCTCAAGAATCAATGAAAAGGAAGCAATAAACCATAACAAGATTTCTATTATCTATTATATAGAAAAGCCATGATGGTCGACCAAGGATAAAGTGGTAATTTCACATAGCCGATCTTAAATTGAATTTTTATTGCTCTGCTAACATACGTGTCCTTCCTCACATTCTTCTTTCTAGAATTTTCTTTAACTATTACTTTGTTAATCATCTACCATCTCCTAATGCGTTCTAGCCGCAATTGTCTATCATTAGTAGCAGATCTCCCTCACAAACTTTTTCATATCCTTCATATTTTCTTTTACGAATTTTGCTTTTTCTTATCTCTAATCATACTTTGAACACAACTTTCTGTTTCACAATTTGGGATAAACTTGTCTGTTGCTTCTTGCTGAATGAGCTCTTGGAGCAGCAATCGTTTACCAGGATGGAGTATTCTTGAATCTTCGAACTGCTGAATAGGAATATTGAGGTATACCCTTTAAATTGTTATTTTTGAAGAGTTTATATGTTATTTTTTTCTTTTTAATATATCATAATTAGTCCGTCGAAGGTCAATTCTCTGCTAATTTTGAGGTATAACCCCTTTGAAATGTTGAATTTTTTTAAGGTTTAAACAGGTGAAATTTACTTATCGTTAATTTAAAATTTTAATGTATAAACCCCTTTTAGATTTTTATTTGCATTGCCGGACTACATTGCACATTGATTCCTCCTCAATGGTTTTATTGTCCCCTTCTTTTGCTCACTGATTTTTGTATTTTTTATTGTTTCTCTTTTGATTCTTCTTCCAACCTCCTCTTGAGTGAGGTTCAAAGTCAATCCCATGATTAGAAATGACAGCTTTTGTACCTTTGATTCATTATTTTATTATTTTCACTATTAAAATATTTTTCAGGAGTCTCATAATGTGCGTAGTGGGTAATCAATATGTAGTCAGTGCAGTGTAGTGGATTTTAGGATCATAAATGTGATAATTGGTGGTTAATTTTTGAATCATTTTTATGGTTTAACTGGAAAAAAATTGAGAAGACTATGCGGAGGTTGTTTTTCTTTATGCCATTTGCTTGCTTCAGAGGCTGCCATGTGAATAGCACGAATATGTTATTATGGATCGTTACCTTATTTATCATAATTGTTGTTAAATTAAGAACTTCATACTGCATTTCAATATAAGTATTTTTTTTTTTCAATTCGCAGTTCGGAGTATTCATTCTTACCAGACAAAAATTATGGATTCAGTGGTACAGTGTCCACCTATTTGAACTTGCAGGATGTGCATGTCATATTTCAACTATAATTTAGCTTTATCAGCGGACTTAACCAATGCTCACATAAGATATCAAAAAGTAGAATAAATAGTTTTATGCCTTGTTCTCTCTTTTCTTTTTTAAGTTGTCTTCAAGAAATTTATTATCAAATTTATATTTTGGGTTCTGAAATGCTATTCCTTTTGGGTATCTGTTACTTATAGTTAAAAGCTATAATTGACTTGAGAAACAAGCTGCTAATGACACGCTACGTGAAAGAAAGATTTGTATAACCTGCCTGTTTGTTGATTCTGAGAAGCAACTAAATCTTTTTACTTAGCTCCATACTTCTTCATTAGTCAAACTGCATAAGAGGATTTTGATCAAGTGTTGGTTAACCTGTTGACATTTGTCTATGATAATACATTTAAGTCCTACTGGTTATAGTTGAACAATCAGTTATGCAAAAGAATAACATGTTGCGACATTGAGATTACAACAAGCTGTAATTTAAGTAAATGATTTTTGAAAAAGAAATACAGAATAGTAATTTATGGAGTTAAGATTCTTATTTTTTTAAATTAGCGAAAAGATCTATGAAGAGATAATGCCGCGAATGATTACATTAGCACTTTGGTTTATATTGGATTTACTATTTACTTGTTATTTCTTTTTAATTGATGTTCCAGTTGTAACTATATGTCTAATAATTTGTTGTTCTCGATTATAGGAACCACATATAGCAGAGAAGAATACAATCAGTTCAAAAGTTTCAAACATATAGAGAAAAAGTAGTTTCATATTGAGCGCAACAATTGAATACGACCTAAATCCAAAGTTCATATGACTTAGAGTCAACTCATTAATTGGTCTCCCTGTTATTTTTTTGGGCTAAAAATATCCACTAGCTATTTCAGTGATTGAGTTTAGAATAATGTATGTATACTTCTTTCTCCTCCATTTGAAATCATTAGAAGTAAAATAAAATTTGGCTTGTATACTGCTATAACTTGAACTTAGTGGCATCACTTTTGTGAGTAAAATACTTATCTAGCTCATCTTTTGAATATCACTTCTCTCTTTATAGTTTTCCTTATATCATCTCAATTATTGAAGTTATCATCCTCTGAAGCCGTCTCTACCCTACCTTATAAGTACCACACTTTCTTTTAATAGTTCTCCCTCTTAATTACTGAATTTATAACCTTTTCAAGTTGTAATTTGAGTCCTCTAGACATATTTTACTGCTATTTACATTTACATTTTTCCTTGACACGCATAACATCTGTAATATTTGTAAATGCCTTCAAAATGTCTTTCCTTCTTTTACTTTTAGATTTATCATTATTTTTCTGTATACTCAGAGCTTATAGTTTTTCTATTTGTGGATTAGTGTACCCTTTGTCTTATTTCTTTTCAATGTTCTGTAGCTACATGTGCAGGTACAACTTATCTTTCTTCCTCCCTCCCTCCTTAGAAATACTAGCACACATCCATAGTATTGTTCAGTTTTTTTTACGAGGTTTTATGTGTGTACTTTGTGCCAGATTTATGTCTTACAGAATAAGATCATATATTCTTCTAAAAGCATTTACTTTCAATATCCTTGACACATAAAATTAATTGATGTAATGTATACTAGATACAAAGGTTTATGTTTTACACTTCTGCTTGTTTATGAAATTATTTTTTATTTTTGGTTAATAATCAATCCATGTATAGGGTCTCAAGAAATGATCAATTACAGCTTGGAAGTGGTGTTGAGGTTGATCCAAGAGCACAATCACATGATATCCTAAAACTTATGATAGACCAAATCAAGTTTTTTTTACAGCTTTCTTAAAGAATCTTATAAGACATTGTTTCAGGACTTGCGCTCATACAATCGAAACTAAGTGACTCAGCCTACAGGCTACGTGAAAGGTCAAACTCCTAAGGTTTGGAGGAAAAGAATAGTAATGAAAGTCAGTACGTTAAGTATTTGACATCTGATTCACCAATGTGCACCAACTGTTGTGACTTTGCAACTTGATAATTGAATGAGGATTCATTTGTTTTGTTGAAAGATCGAATGATGATACCTAAGATGCAAGTTTTGGCATGGTATTTGCAATGAATACTACATCAGATGGTGTTTAGTTGTAATTACTACTCTGCAGAATTTGAGAATAATGAACCTCGGATGTTTCATATTTGGTAATGAATATTGGGATTAGTCCTTTACTGATATTGGGATAGTCCTTTCATATTGAGTAATGAAATAAAGTCCGTTTGGGTTAGCTGATTTAGAGTAGCTGATAAGCATTAGGTGCTGAAAAACACTTTAAAGTGTTGAAGCTGATTTAAAAAATAAGCAGTTACGTGTTTGGATAAAAGTGCTGAAATTAATAATAAGCAGTTGAAGAACTGAGTATACAAAGAGTTTTGTTTTAAAAAGAAGTGTTTTAGAGATAGAATAGTAAATATTTTGGTCAAACCTAAAGTGCTTATAAGCTGAAATTTGATAAGTTGGGGGACCAACTTATGGCTTTTGGCTTATAAGCACTTAAGTTATAAGCACTTTTAATTTTACCAAACGCGTAGATAAGCCAAAAAGTGCTTATAAGCCAGTTTGACGAGCTTATAAGCTTAGCCAAACACCCTCATAATTGTTACTTTCTGCGACTTCTTTGACCGTTCCAGTTGAATTTCCAAATGAATTTTCCAAAGCATCATTAGAGAATGAAAGTCGGTTTAAATTTACAATGTTAGGCCCGTGCTCTGCACGGATAATACTCATCTAGTATAATAAGATAACGAAAGCAAACAGCACATCGAATAATAATGGAGATTTAAAATATATATTCTAACTTGTCTTTATTTACGGCTTAAATTTTCAAGGTCCGGAGGTTTTATAAATCGAACTATATAATTCTACAACAGATAAAGTTACCAAGTCCTACTGGCTTAAAGAAAACAGAAAAAAGCTTTACCAAAACCTGCCATCTGTATATTGAACGTGTGCAGAGCCAATCAACGTGTCATCTTCCTCCATTTCCACGGCATCTCCAAAACCTTCACCACTTTCAATTTAAGCACCAAAAAATAGATCCTCTGTAAATTTCATCACCATTTTAGCACATATACATAGAAAGAAACAGAGAAAATAACGAGCAATATGGCATTAGAATGGGTAGTTCTAGGCTACGCCGCTGCAGCAGAAGCGGTGATGGTAATCCTTTTAACACTTCCAGGTACATACCCTGTACGTAAAGGTCTCATATCAGTTACACGAAACCTTCTCAAGCCTTTTCTTTCAGTGGTTCCGTTCTGTGTCTTCTTGTTATTGGACATTTACTGGAAATACGAGAATCGCCCGAGGTGTAAATCGGCCGAGTCTTGTACCCCGACGGAGCTGATGCGACACCAGAAATCTGTAATGAAAAGTCAGCGTAATGCGCTGTTGATTGCTGCTGCGTTGATGTTTTACTGGCTGCTGTATTCGGTGACTCGGTTGGTTACCCGAGTTGAAATGTTGAATCAGCGAGTTGAGAAGTTGCAGAACCAGGAATAACCAATGATAAAAATGGTTAAATGGAAGTAGCTTTATTACTTAATATTTTGTTTTGAGTTCTCGTTTGGTTCCTTTGTAATGGATTGGAAACTTTTCAGTATGGAGTTTCTTTCTATATCCTTCTTCTTTTCCTTTTCCTTTTCCTTTTTTAATTATTCTCTTTTTTGGTATTGATTAAGCGTGTATTGTTAGTATTAGTGAATTAATATCTCAAACTTATAACTTAATCAACTTATATAAACACAATATGTATGTGTGTATTTGAGAAATTCTACAAAGATCTTCGACCTTATTGAGAGAGGTCACAAATTACATTGGGGAAAAAAAAATTCAGAAATAGCAATATTTATAATCGATAATTAAAAATAGTTACAGTTGAAAGTAATTTATATTTAGTCATTCTCATGTAAGATAAAATCTACAAAAAAGTTATTTTAGATAAATTCAAAAATACGCTCCCAGCATAATAAATTGTAGTTTGAATTTTTCACATAGGAATTTTATGACCTCCCGGTGGTCCAATAAAATATGCAATAGATATTGGAATTTTTTATGTGTGGAAGTTTTAACATAACATATTTCAAGTCTCTACGAAGGAGTTCCATAATTTAGCGTTTAACAAAATAGTTGTTATTTTTTAATAATTTTATAATAGTTGGTTATTTTTTAATTATCGGTCCCAAAATTGATTAGTTCATAATATTTTAAGAGGAATTTTTAGAAATCACTATGTTTTATAGTGATTATTAGCTAGTTGTAGCTATCATTTACTATATTACTTTCTATAGCTATATTTTTAAATTTTTTAGAGTGTATTCGATATATTTAAGTTACTGTATTCATGAATACAATAGCATTTCTAGGCGTGAAACAGGGGATTACAGCTAGACAGATTTTTGTAGTGTATTCGATATATTTAAGTTACTGTATTCATGAATACAATAGCATTTCTAGGCGTGTGAAACAGGGGATTACAGCTAGAAAGATTTTTGTATTCGACTGTATTCATGGCGTGAAACATGAGACTACAGCTGGACAGATTATTATATTCAACTGTATTCGACAGTATTCACGGCGTGAAACAGGGGATTAGACTTTTTTTAAATGGAAAGAGAATCAATTAACATAATAGACTCCTAATATAACTCAACAAACTCAATTATAACACACAAAATTTGTAATTTCAATTATAAAAAAGATTCTCAACCGAAAAGTACCCCAAAAATATAGCAATCTTCAGAGAAATTGTATAATACATCTGAATACATAAATTATATTAATTAAAAACATATGAATGCATTTATGGAATATAGCGAGACAGTGAATACAATGAAATACATAGAATACAGTGGGATACATTGAAATACAATGAAAAAAAGACAATGAATACAATAAAATACATAGAATACAGCGAGATATATTGAAGTACAATGAATAAAAAGATAATGAATACATGAAAATACAGCGAGATACATTGAAATATATTAAAATATATTAACAGAAAATTCAAGTTGCTCAGCCCCAAAATCTGTTGTCTTTGTTCAAGAACAACCCTAATGTCGTCTCGCCTTTACCGTTGCCTCCGGTTGCCGTTGTTACGCCGGAAAAAATTTCTATATCGGATGATTGCTCGACAGCCAAAAGTCTTCGCCGGAAAACTCTAATTCTGATGCTTTGCCGGAGAGTTCTGGTAGTGCACGATATGGTCCAAATTTTTTTGTCACCTCACTGGTAGTGATATTCCGATGCGAAAAAATTTCTGTCTGTCGGCGGCAATGCTCTCTCCTGAGGTATTTAAGGTTCGTCAACTACTCAAAGTTTTCCTCGTCCCTCTTTTATCTTCTGCCCAAATTTTGTTGACTGGGATAGGCATATTATGCCCTAGTGTAATTTTATGATATTGATGTTTTTGTAAAATTCACTCATGAAACATTTTTGAATATGAGCACGTACAGTATATCCTGCGTGGGCCTTTTGTGTTTCTTCTCCTTTGAATGTAATACTTTGCCGGAAAGTTCTGGTAGTAAGATGAAGGAGGAAGATGAGAGAGAGAGAGGGAGGGGGGGGGGAATAGATATAGGGTAGGAGATACAAGAAATTTGAGGGGATAGGAGAAATTAGAGGGGAGAGAGAAAAATAATACAAAACTTATTTTATGGCTTAAGAGTAGGAGGTGACCATAAATAGATGTTTGGCTATAAAAAATTAAAAGGTAGCTATGGAATGTAATTTTTTAAAGGGTGAAGGAAAATATTTTATTATAAATTTCTGATTGATCTCAACACTTCTTTATTTCCTCCACACATTAAATAAACTATCAATACACCTATTTATAATAGTTATGAAGCCTATTTCAACTAGAAATAGAAAAGCCTATTCCTATATTTATTCTAACTGCAAATCCTATTTAGACATGAATTAAATAAATCAAATCCTAAATAACTAAAGTTTCCTACTACAACTTTGAATTAGTTTTCCAACATTCTCCCGTAATTCAAAGTTGTATACGTCTGACTTGTTCGCTGTGCAGTTACGTTGGAGCACTTCTCTCCAACTCTCACTTTTGATGAAGCACATGTCTTCATCCCTCGATTTGTTAAAGCACCTGTCTCCAACTCACGTTGATGCACTTTGTCACCAACACTCAATTTTTGTTGAAGCACCTGTCTCCAACTCACGTTGATGCACTTTGTCACCAACCGTTGATGCACTTTGTCATCAACACCCAATTTTGTTGAAGGACCTGTCTTCAACTCACGTTGATGCACTGTGTCATCTACCGTTGATGCACTTTGTCACCAACATCCAATTTTGTTGAAGCACCCGTCTTCAACACCCGTGCGTTGATGCACTTTGCCAATAATCGTTGATGCACTTTGTTATTTATAATAAAATATTTTCCTTTAAAAGGGTATTTATTTAAAATAAATAAGGTATCAGCCTTTGCTATAGGAGATAACTAATCCATATTTTAATAATGGAACTGTCTAGTTCATAATATCTTAAGAGAAATTTTCATAAAGTACTATCTTTTATTGGTAATTAGCTATCTATAGATACCATTTGCTATATTATGGATTGTAGATACGTTTTCTGTTGTTATAAGATGTATTAGATGTATTTAAGCTACTGTATTCATGAATATAGTAGCAAAAATAGGTGTGAATCAGGGAAGTCCAGCTAATCAGTTGTTGTATTCGAGTGTATTCGACAGTATTCATGGCGTGAAACATGGGATTACAGCCGGACAGATTATTGTATTCGACTGTATTCACGGCGTGAAACAGGGGATTACACTGTTTTTAAATGGAAGTGAATCAATTAACATAATAGACTCATAATATAACTCAACAAACTCAATTATAACACACGAATTTTGTATTTCCAGTTATAAAAAAGATTCTCAACCGAAAAATACCCAAAAATATAGCAATCTTCAGAGAAATTATATAATACATTTGAATACATAAATTATATCAATTAAAAAAAATATATGAATACATTCATGGCATATAGCGAGACAGTGAATACAATGAAATACATAGAATACAGCGGGATACATTGAAATACAATGAAAATGTCACGACCCTAAATCTCAACCCGGTCGTGATGGCGCCTCTCGTGAAGATAAGTCGTCAACTAACCAAATTCACCTTTTTAAACAGTTAAACAACATAAAGCAGTCTAAAACATGATTTAATAATAATAAGTAGCGGATAATATCAATAAAGTGCGGAAATATAACCCAACACAGCCTTAACCGGAGTGTCACAAGTCATGAGCATCAATAAGTCATAATATAAGTCTGCTAAGTCTGAAAACTAGTACGTATGTCTGAAACATGATAGAAATGATAAAAGAAGAGAAACACGGAAACTGCGGACGCCAGGCAGCTGCCTCGTGTACTCCGAATGCCCGCCTGAAGCTGGAAGGATCAGCACTCGGGAGCGGAACCAACTATGCCTGAATTTGCACACAGGGTGCAGGAAGTAAAGTGAGTACTCCAACTCAGTGAGTAACAAATGTAAATAATGACTGAAAGTAAGAAAACACGTAAGGCACAAGTCATTCTATAATGAAGCAGTAAAACCAATTAAAAACAGTAAACCAGTGAAAAGTCAAGTAAAATCCTTTTTCAACAATAAACAGGTAATTGACAGACAGTTATGGTATAGTAAACAATTAGAAGCTCGCCCCTCGGGCACAGTGTCAACAAATTCGCCCCTCGGGCAACATCTCATAACAATACCAGCCCCTCGGGCTCAATCTCACATCACAATGGGTACCCACGCTCACTGGGGGTGTGCAGACTCCTGGAGGGGCCCCTTACGGCCCAAGTGCAATAACAAACCATCTCGTGGCATCACAAACTAGGCCCTCGGCCTCATATCAATCAAGGCACTTCGTGGCGTACATATCTCAGTCTCGGCCTCAAATCAGTATCAGTGTTTCCTCACAACATAGGCCATCGGCCTTGCTCAGTCAAAAATCCTCACAAGCCCCTCGGGCAATAGTAAAACAGTGTTTCTCGGCCGAAACATCATTTAAAAATATCATTTAAGTCTCAAAACTGAGTAAAAATGGCTGAGTGGTAAAACAGTAAAAAATAACATGACTGAGTTCAAGGAGTAAGTCAAAACAGTGAGGAAATATCAATAAAAGCCCCGAAGGGTTCAAATAGTTGGCACGAAGCCCAAATATGGCATTCAGCCCAAATCATAGTGATAGCAAATAAGTTTCAGTCAAATACGCGGTAAAATCATCAACCGGGACGGACCAAGTCACAATCCCCATTAGTGTACGACCCCACGCTCATCAACAAGCGTGTGTCTCACCTCAACATAGCACTACGATGTGCAATCCGGGGTTTCAAACCCTCAGAACATCATTTACAATCATTACTCACCTCGAACCGGCTAAATCTCTAGCTCGCGACGCCTTTGCCCCTCGAATCGGCCTCCCCGCGCGTCGAATCTATCCAAAATCAGAACGAGGACGTCAAAATATGCTAAGGGAACAAAGCCCAAGCGAAAACAATCAATAAAGGGAACAAATCCCGAGATTACCCAAAACCCGACCCCCGGGTCCACGTCTTGAAATTCAGAATTTTTTACACCAA